CCACCCTACGCAGATTCCGTAGGAAATCGACAGAAGGTCGTCGCAATGTTCAATCGTTGCCAATGGGTGCTTCATCATCTATTTCCTCTTCCGCGAGCTGTTTGTTGCTCCGTTGGTGGTTTAAATTTTCTTGTTTTTCGTGTTTTTGCTATTTTCCGCATCTCAATTGCCTTAAATTAGTGACGAATGTTGACGCACACGCACTCGTTAACGAGTTGAGCAGGCGAATGACGAAAGCCAGTGCGACCGCAGGCGATCGTGTAGCTGAATGTGCGTGTGTCAATAAAATTATAGGATATTTCGCAACTGTTGCAGCAGTGCCCCGCGTGTGCCCGGGCTGCGGGTTCACCTTTGGTCGTTTCCTACGTGACATATCGGTCATAGGAAATCCTTAAAAAGGAATAACAAAGATAGGACGATTCGAGAGCAAGAAGAATCGGTAAGGAGAGCTGTCTTTATCTTGAGCTGTGTACAACACGAACGGAGCGGAGGAAACGGAGAGTGGCGGAGGGAGATCGAAGTAGAATGAGGTAGGGCAGGTAGGGGAGGTAGGGGAGGTAGGGGAGGTAGGAGGTACGTGGTGGACTTGTATTTCGGACTAACAATAAGTTAATAACGATGCTGAGGCCTGTGCGTGTGCGTACGTGGGAGAGAGAGAGAGAGAGAGAGAGAGAGAGACTCAAATATTGTCCGAGCTTATCTTTCTCGTTTGAGAAGAGTCGTCTCGGGATATATGTATACCACGTACTACATGTATACGTTGCTCTCGATGATACTGTCCTTTCGGAGTACGACGCGGAGCGAGGCACACGCTGCCAGTGAAAATGGTACGTGTGTACATACGTGTGTACCCAACGGGGGAGCAGAAAGGACTATAAGGGCTAGCCTGGGTAGGGTCCACCGCGCATACGGCACAGACCGGAAACAAGGGGGTCCCCGCTAGCATGCCAGAGAGAGCCCCCTATACTCTTCCCCCATTCGAGCCTCGACACACACTACGGGGGTTCTCAAATTCGAGGAAGGGCCGATCTGCCGATCGACTGCTGCGACGTAAATGCGGACATTTTGCGCGAAGGTGGTAATACTGATGCATGGAGAGTTCAAGTCGACGGACTGCTCAAACTTATTTTTCTCTCTATATCTTACGAACGGTCCTTTTAATTCATCGGCAAATTCTAGAATTACCTAACTTACCTAATTACCTAACCTATCACTTTATGGACCGACGGTTTAACGACGCATCGCGCGTAACCCCTTACTTGCACTTCGCAAAACACGTTCGTCTTTGGTGCACGATCAATCGGATGCCTCAATCGGCACATAACGGCCAGCCAACGAGGAGCCAGTAGGAGCCAGTAGGCAAACACGACGTCGTTTCGCCTCTATATTCGCTTTAAAGCCCTCGCGAGTTCATGCCTGTACGAAGAAAAGCAAATTACAAATTACAAATTACAAATTACGATCTGAAATGGGCAATCCTTAGAGATTGACTGTCCTCGTTGCAACATTTTATTCTTGGCCAAATGCTAAATATTACTTTAACAATCGTAAATGCGCATTCCTCTGCTCTGCGTATTGTCACGCAAGTATATCAGAGTTATGTGTATTACAATTTCATAATTATTCGATGAAATTTGAAAGTTTGAAAAATTATCAATTAACGCGGCGAGTACCTACATAAAATGTGTCGTAATGGTAGATTAATGCGTTCATTCGATATGATTTTCGAAACGCTGAGGAATATGGCGAGAAGGTGATCGTCGCCTGCTGTGTTTTTTAACGTAAATATCAATGATAAGAACATACGATTTCGCGAAAATTTGTGTTTTTGACTCTTTATATTAATAATAGTACGGCCCATCTCGTTGTTGTTGTAGTAGGAGTTGTCCATCGTTCTTCCAAGTATTTCCTTAAGAGGATTTTTTGATGTATCGTAAAATTTAAAAATCTTCAACGAGATACCTCAGCGAAGAATGGACAAACAAATCGACAAATGACAGAAGAATGTCCAAGTTGTGTATAATTTTATCTGCTTCCTGCGCTCAAGTAAGCAAAGTAACGGTAAATGGAAATTATCAATTCACGAGAGAGAGAGAGAGAGAGAGAGAGAGAGAGAGCATGCTCCCTTTGGTAAGGAGATGTCAAGAGATAGAGAAACGTGTCGTTTTCACGAAAATTATTAAAGAATTATTCTTCTTTCTTCGTTTCTCGGATAGTCCGAACTTCAGTCTAGCACCAAAGAAATTGTGTGATTCGTCGTCCGCCCATTGCGCACCCGTCCTTTCATGCGTACAATATACATACGTTATCTTTCCATACACGGCGTTTCGCAATGAATTTTGGAGTTTGCCAAGTCCCATTGTTACACCTGCGGAGTGTAAGATGCGCGCAAAGAGTCCCACCACCGTCACAGCACCGGGCAATTGGTCGCGCGCTTCCTATTGTTAGGCTTGACTCTCATCTCTCGTCCCTCTTTATTTGGCTTTCGCTGACTTTTCTTTCGCCATAAAACGATCTGACGCGTCACTCGTGCGTTTGCCAGCGCTTACGGACGAATGAACGTACTCGGGTGCTGTTGCAAAGCTTCGCGCTCATGAGGCTCTCGCGACCGGCAGTCGTTCAGGATCGCTAATTATAACGGCTGACAATTAACAAACAAAGAAATTCTCTCGAGAGTTCTCGGCTCGAGAAATCGTATGCAAGTATCCGAACGTAGAATGAATATGTCGCGTGAAATTATCCTTGGAACTTTGAGAATTTCGTCGTTCGTCTTAGCGGCTACGTGGCTTTGCGAGGGCATACAGCTCGTTTCGTGTGAACGTAAGTTAAGCCAACCGAAGGATCGGTTTCTAAGGAGAGAGAAGAGAAAGCCTGAGAACGCAGCGCGAGTAAACCCGCCGTGCCCCGATCAGAGAGGATGCCCACATCCAGAGAGGACGATGGAATATTTCGAATTATCAATTTTTTCTTCTTTCTTCTTCTTATTCAGCTATCCTCTATTAATTTCGCCTTCCGCGTTACTACCGTAATCGGTGCTTCAATTCCTCGGAAGTTTGTGTAAGCATAATGCGATCAACGCAACAACGAGGATAATAAACGAGCCGGAGGATCGCCGGTTGTCCCGGTATCAGCGAGGAGGAGGGTTGGCGTGTCCGAAAATACGATTGAGAGCGTTCGGGCACCTGTTCTTCAGTGGGAGTCAACCTGGCGCGCCCCTCCACTGGTTCAAGCAACCGGATATTTCAACGTGAAATCGCGAGGATAAGATCCTAGAAGCACTATTAACTGTGTGATCTTGACAATTCGTCCCACGTGCAGAGGAGCAATCCTTTATTCTGCTTTGAAATGTGTTTCGGGCATCTGGAGTTTCGGAACGCATACTTTTGTTCATCGTGCTTGTCAGCAATCGGGAATTGGGCCGCAAAGGACTAAAGAAGGGAGAGGGGTAAGGAAGGGCGGGGTGGGGCGAAGAGAATAGGAGAGGAGACGCAGGAGACGCAGGAGACGCGCGAGATGCTCGTCCGCTTTCAAGTATATGTATATATACGTGCTCGAAGGGAACCAGAGTCGACCGATATTTTCGAGACAGGTAGTACATATGGAATAGAGTGATGCTTGATGCTTGATGCTCGATGCTTGTTTCGTACCTATACACACGTGAAGAAGGCGAACGAAGGGAAGAGGGACATCCGACGCGGCGACTCGGAATACTAATGCAGGTTTGCGAACGAAGAGACTAAAGCAGAAATCGAGAAATAAAGTGTCGTGAACGGGGAAGATCTTTTCAAGTGTGAAAACCTCGAGCTTCAGTTCATGCCCCTGACTCGTTAGCCCTTTTAGACGATCGTCGCCATCGCATTAACAGATGGTTAAAGAATCTTTGCCCGATTTTCATTAAATCTTCTAGCGACTCCAGAGGAACCTCACAGTTTTCTCTTTTCCTATGAGCAAGTTTAAACGCGGGTCCGCACTCTTGCGCTGATGCCTCTCTGTGCCTCAGGCATTTAGTTTGGATGTAGCAAGTATAAAAGGAGCAAGTATTTCCAAAGGTAGAGCCGCAGCAGTCATTTTGAGATGCATAGTAATTGTGTGTGGAACTCACCGGAAATTGACTCAGGCAGAGTACTCAGAAGGATGACAAGTGAGAGAACGCAGCGCCCAAATGCGTAATCCAAATTTGGCCGCAGCAACATGTTGCAGATAATTTATCCATACACAGAGGACACGCACATCGAGATACACATACACAAACACTCGAGCGCTTTTCCTTATTTGACGCACATTTTACACTATGTTTTGTCGTTTTGTCGTATGCTTTTCATTACGCCACTGGTCAATGTTTACATTTACATTTATACACACGGTGAAATAATTAGTCGAAAGGAATTAAAAAAAAACATTCGGAACCCATATACGAACACGACCGCGTCCGAAACACGTCTGGGATCTATTGTTCGCTTAACGCGCTGAAAGTAGTTCCCGACCGGCGCGCCATCTGCTTCTGCCCCATCCTGTATTGCTACGCGCCGACTGCGGCGTTGATGGCGGTGGATGGCGGCTATTCGCCGCGTCCAATGGCGTACGTACCTCCTCTTCTCGTTCCCTATAACGCCCATAATCGTTCTCATTCCAGTTCCGCAGTCTTCTTGTGCCTCGCAGCCCGACTTCCATTTTCACACTGAACACGAGCACAACAAGCTTCCATGTCATTTGCATTTGATTTTTCGAAAAACGACTGATGGTCTTCGACTGCAGCCTCACACGCTATTATCCTTGCGCCAATATGCATTTTTGCTTTCATTAATTAGTACCGTTGCTAATTTCCGCACATTTATTGCCATTGCTTCTACGCACGTTGCGTTAATTTCAGGCATTGTCCTAGAATAAATTTCTAAGATCTCTCTATCTCTGTTGGAAGCGCATTTCCATATCGAATAGAACGATATATCGAACGTATACATTCGTAAAGAATGTTTCGCGAATTCAATTAATGAATAATTTGCGATTTCGATGAGAGATATTATTTTGTCATATTGTTTACGCTCTAATCTTCGTTTTATCACCTACATATTACGTATTTGGTGAAATATGCTCGCTCGATGTTTTTTATTTTATTTTATTTTTTTCCCCTTTTAACATGCCAAAAGAAGTTGCACGCCTCTTCCGTTAATCCGAAAAATGTCGATCAAACGTACGCCTCTCATTCACACATACTTAGTCTCTGATGCTTGATCATCTTTATTTTATGATTATACATACACTATACCAGTGAACGTAGTATGTAAGTGCGTCTGTAGAGTTTCAAGCGGCAAGACACCGAAATCCACTTAATCTCATAAAAAGTCTCGATCGCACATGCGCAGTCGCAGAACGCGACGAAATAAATAGTATACTACATATGTATATGTACGATGAGGTTTATTATTTATTTATTTCCACCGTATTGGCGAGCTCGACTTAAACAAATAACCATCCTTTTATCATCTAATGATACATTTGCTTATGACTAAATTAGGTGTAGCTGTTAATACATAAATCATAGATTCGCTACACTAGAACATTATACCTGTATGCATGTGTCTAAAAATGAGGCATTGTCATTGGAGAGATAATAATAATAATAATAATAACAATAACAATAATAATAATAATAATAATAATAATAATAATAAAGTTGATACGAACCTCCGAGGGTATTGCGTTGGGCGACGGGCGGGTGCCTCAATGAAATGCATGACAAAAGTCCGTCGCAGTCCGTCGTCAAGACGACGAATGCCCTCGAAGGATAGGTTATTGCTATTACGTCGATAGACTGGAATAGTTTGCTCTTGTAAAAGCGGCAGTGGCTACAGTGGCGGTGGTAAGTACACTGTACTAAGTACTGTGCGCAGCAGGTATGTCGGATCCTTTGCTCCCTTCGTCGCATAACAGCAAGCTCAACAGTTTAAATCGAAGGATCCTCGAGATCAAGAAGAAAATACAATTGTCTGGTGAGTCTAGAGAATCTACAGTGCTTTAATTAACTTTTACCAACGTGCTCGTCGGCCATGCGCGATTATTGAGCATCCAAGTGAGAACGGCCATCTTGAACTTCCAATCATACGTAAGATTTATGCATTACCCCTTTATCGAACTGGAATACGCGCATATTTCCTTAAATTCTAAAATTAATGAAAACATGGTACTTTTGTAGGGGATACTTATGAAATAACGAGACACGAGACGTATGTGAAACTTTTAGAAAATTGCACGCAACTTACATTTCTATGCGCGTAACTTAATTCGCGCTGTAAAAGTAAGAACGTATACTGTGAGCCGTGTAAGCGAACAGTGCAGCTTGCAAGAATATCCGTGCACTGTGCTTTCATGAGAATTGACTATTATTATTATCATTATTATAAATCTTATATCTTCTTCTTTCTTCTATCTTATAAATTACGATATGCCATTTTGAGGTTATGACGCGCCCCTCAGTCTTCTCGCTCCTTGCACGCACAATGCCATGATATCTTCTGTACTTTTTAGAGGGCCAGAGGAAGGCAACTTTCGAAGAGTGCGATGCAAAGAAACGGGAGAACGCCGAGAGGATAGCCGAGCTCAAAGGGAGCGCGGCCAGTTTGCGCCTCGAGCTAGTCAAGGCGAAAAATGTAAATGCACTCGTCGGTATAATAAAATGCATATGCGTGCGTGCGCGCGTGCGTGCGCGCGCGCGTGCGTCTAGTACTGTAGTAGCACACGCGTGGCATTGTAGTGTCACGGGTGCGTTATACAGCCGTGTCTGACATTCGGGGCTACGAGAGACCCGAAGGGCCGATACACCTGAAAGACCGAAGAGTTGCCTTATTTTTCTTTTATCTTTCTTTTTCAAAACATATTTTAGCGTGGTTTTAAAAAGCATAAGAGCTGGAACGATGCTGACTATATATGTATTAATAAATTCTAAGAATTTTATTTTATTTTTTTTTTTCCTTTCAGTTCATTCACGTAGCCATACTGCCATACTGCGCTGCTGACAGCTGCGGATCCGGCTGTCATTGCCATTATAAATAATAAAATAAACTGTAATTCAACGTTCTTTGAACTCGAATGAAACATAACGTTGATAACTAAACTTTTTTTTAAATAAAAAAATAGTGCAATCTCAATGGTCTTTCAGGTGCGCACGGCTCAACTTTAAGAGAATTTCGACACGCGTCGCACTTAATATCGCCTGTACGTTTCAACCTTTCTTTCTTTCTGTCTTTCTTCCTTTCGTCCTTTCTTCCTTTCTTCCTTTCTTCCTTTCCCTCGACTCGCACGGTACGGTAGACTGACGCGGCGACGGAACGCGTCGCGGGACAGAACGAGGCTAATCTCGGCACGGGCAGGCAACGACTGGACCAAGTAATTTCGAAATTGGAGAACGACAATGTTCGGCTGCGCAGGAAGCTCGATCTCGTGCGATATCGAAGTGAGCAGGTAAGGGAGGAGGGAGGGCTTCGGTACTTTGCGAGGCAATAGCGTTGCAAAGTACGGCGTCCTCTCATTGGATTCTCGTTGCAGCAACAAAATAAGCTCGCCAGCTTACTGCGAGAGTACGAGGAACTGATGATGGCCGACAGAAGTCGAAGACGAATTGGAAAGGAGACGTACGACCCACTGAAAAAGGTTGAAGCGCGACATTCCTTGTTTTCGGCAATTTATTATTAATTGAAAGTGAACACTCTTCGATCGACGATCGTCGTACATTCGTAACGGCGCACGAGGCATGCTTCTTTTTTTTCTTGTCTTAATTTCAGAGAATCATCGTACTTGAGAATGAATTGCACAAAAGTAGTATCGTGCAGATGGAGGCTGATATGGTGCGCAAGAAGTACAGATGCGTGCGCTCGGGTTTGAAATCCGACGGCGCTATTTATGCCTCCGCTTTGGAAAATCTTAAGGGGAGCATAGACGAGCAGAAAAGGGAGATCGAGAGATTGGAGGGCGTCAAGAAGGAAGCCTCGAAGCTCGGCGACGTAACGAGAGCGGCCCTAGCGCGAGAGGAGCTGGAGGCGCTGAATACGAGTAAAGAACGCGATTGCGTCATTCTCGATTACAGGTAATACGAGGATCGGTGCAATGTCAAACGTAATGCGGAGTCTATTGTCGGTATGGACGGCGGTGTCGGGATGAAAAAGATGAAAAAGATGAAAAAGATGAAAAAGATGAAAAACGTAACACTGCAGGCAGCGCGTCGAGGACAGGAAGTTGGAGCTCGAAAGATTGGAAAGAATGATATTTCCCGGTACGGTTTCGACGCGGCCGCTTCCGCTTCCGCTTTCGCTTTCGCGCGAGGAGCTGAATTTGGATCGCGCCAGGGAGGAAGGAATCGAGACTGGTGGGCTGGCTTCCACGATTGCAAAGACGTCGACCGCTCGAATTGGAAGTTCGGCAGAATCGAGCGGCCAGACTAATGGGAATTCGGAAAATTCGACCTGGAGTCTCGAGGAATCCTTCGCTAAGCTACGGTGCGTCACCGGGGTCACCAGGAGGAACGATCTTGTGCTGGACCGATTTCTTGGGCAACGAGCGACCAAGGAAAGGCTGCAAGCGATGCGCACGGCTACGGAGAACGAGAAGATGCTTCTCGAGAGAAGGAGGCAACAGCTAACGGCTGAAATTGAAATGCACAAGTTTTCCGAGACAAAGGATGCCGATCAGTGAGTCCAAAATATTTATTCGTACAATTCATTAATTGTATTGCCACTTTTTCGCTCAAGTACGCATTAGGCTCTTGGCGATCCTCTCATTCGACATTACGGTTTTCGAATTCTTAATTTGATTGCCAGAAACCTCGAGGAAGCGGAGAGGCTGACCGGACTGATACGGATGGAACGTCATCGCGAGGAACGTGCCGAAGCGGAGGCTCGTCGAGTGCAAGCACTCTCGAGCCTTGTCGTTCGAACGCTCTATCGTTTTGCCGAAAACTATCTGGTACGAGTTGTTTCCAAGAGAAAGTCTTTGATAAAATTTACTTTTTATTTCCAAGAAAAAAATAACTTTTTTTCATTGGAATTTTTAAGGAAAAAAATACGTTATCCTCGCTCAGTGACGAAGAGCAATCAGAAGTTGTGGTCCTTCTGGAAAAAAGTATTGGCGCCATGATCAAGAGAATAGCCACCGCAACGGATAGAACCGTGGATGCCGGTCGATTCGGTCTCGAGGGCGAATCTACCGCTTCCGACAAGGTATAAGCGGAAGTAATATGCGATAACGCCTCATATTTATATTTCTTCTAAACTTCGTCCCTCTTCTTTCTGGTAGCTGGACAGTCTGTCAATTGGTACCTGCGCATCGGCCGATGGGAAGGACAGCCGAGCTGGGAGCAGTCGAACGATGAGAACGAACGAGGATCGATCTTTGTTTCCACGATTCCCAATATTGGCGCCTGCGACATCGGCAGCTCCTACGCCATTGTCCGATGACGACGAAGACATTCCCACCCGTACGATTCTTAAGAGACAGGCGCAGCTTCTCGTTGACACCAAGAGCCGACGAAAACCATTTAATTTTAGACGATAATACGTTCATTTCAAAGCCAAATATTTAGCAGCCGACGCTCAATCGTTTCATGAATTTCTTTTAGTAAAGCGTAGCTACTCATATTATAAAGACATGTCTGTAACCAATACGTCCGAGGATATTCGTATCACGGTAGTTATAAGATGATGCCGCTAGTACGAATAACCTTAGGCATCAAGTAATAACAATTCGTAGGCATCGCGACGCTCAATTCTTGCGCACCTCTCAGGCCCCCTGGCCCACCAGCCACGGGTATATAAACGGCGACGCTTCGCGACTCGAGGCATTCTATCACCTGAGCTAGCCTTTAGTAAAGTAAACGGGCCCACTACGGGTCCCACTTGGCCATCATTTCTAGAGGTACTTCTACTCTTGTAATCGAGCAAACCGTCTCTTCTGCCAGGTAGAATCAATCTCCGCATTTCAGTTGGGCCGTCACTTTGACACGTGTCATCATTGTGCCGTTTCCCCTATACCTACATGCCTTCATAACTTTTTTTTAAGACTTGCACAACTAGCTACTTTGCGAATGAGACTTCTCACCTCGCCAAGATAGCAACGTTGTTTCGGATAGGACCACGTCTACCTGTGATCACGAGTTCCCTAGTGGAAGACTGCTCAACGGCACCACGCTTGTATTTTAACCAGTCAATCAAATTCTGTAATCAAATTCCGCTGGTCGGAGGCTGCTTTCAGACACGATTTCAGATTTCATTGATAGAATCGGAATTAGAGCCAAGACAGAATCACACGAGACTAGGAGTCCCTATGATCCCTATGATTTCCGTTCCCGTCAGACATATCGTGTAGGTAAACCTCGTGTAACAATCCTACTGATACAATTGACTTTCCGATCACTAATCTTTTCTATATACCATCTATAATAATTACTACTTTCCGATTACATTTATATTTATTCTTTGCTTACTAACACCCAGCATTCTCTAGGCTGGATCTGCACTAACCCTCTTTGTATTCCGTTATAGGACAATATATATATTTTTTTTTTGTAATTTGTAAAACAAAGTCTCACTTTCATTTGTTCCGCCTGATGTCTTCCCTAAATTCCTAACAGTCGATTCTGGCTCGTACCCGCCTTTCTGGCACGATCTGGGGAACCACATCGTGCAAATAAGGTTACAGTACATACATACATACATACATACATACAGACAAGAGACTATACGGTTAAGTGGTAGAGAATTTTTACAAGAAATTTATAGTACTTATACGCGGCTGTTTAGACCGCGTCAATCAAATCAAAGCAATCCGCGTCTATTTGACCTACGCAACAAAGGCACAAGGCTGTAATGCTCGCTGATCTTATACGTTTTCCTTCCAGACTCAGGCATTTTCTGCACAGTAAATTCTATATACACATTATTACACGAGAGTATGTTCTACAAGAATATTCTACACATTAACGCTGCCTACAGGAATGTTTTATATAAAATTTTTGAAAGCGTTTGTCGGATAAATCGTTTTCTTCGTAGATGTATATGCTTTAAATTCAGATGAATCGAAATGCGGACTATTTTATATTAATCTGCATGATCCACATATAGGATTTTTACACAAAACATACTATTTTACGCATAGAGACTCACAGATGTATATTCCGCGCTTAGTCCTTCGGTACATCTTTCTAGGGTGCCTTCTCACGAACACGACGAAACAATCTAATTCAGCAGCAAAAGAGATATACATATATTGCTTTCTTTGCTACTCTTACCTATGAGCAATATCGACGTGGACAAAAATTCATGAATACGTAATCAAACAACAAAGATGAGTAACATATGCAGTATCATGATTTTTGTTCAAATATAGTTTTCCTTTCTTTTTTCTTTTTTAAGCGTACTATCATCTCATTCATTTTCTAAATTGTGCGACGTTACTGTCCTAAAATCAGTTATTCTATATTTAGTTATAAATGATTTGGTGCAATGAGGGATGCACGAGACGAATGATCTCATTGAGAGTACCTCTCATATGTTTATTAAGTCGCAGATTTCTGTTGAGTATCCGACGTGCATGTTCCTGCGAGTTCTGCGCGTTGACCAGTAGCTAAATTCTCTCGTGTGCTTCAGAAAACGTATGTAGCAATATAATGGGCTGGTTATAACGGAACTTCCAACTGTTCAGTTTTTCTGTCACAAGCAAGAAAACGTATTTTTCGTTACTCTCCATCACTTCTAAATGATTTAGCAATATCCTTGATGAGCCCGCTTCGTTATGCGATACGGCTGGCGGCTCTTCTCAATTTAGGTGCGAAAAATGTTTCTATTATGAGAAAAATGTATGTATAAAAATCGTGCATTTCTGACCTGTCAAAACATCATGGGCGCCGCCATTACGACCGTTTACTAAATCCCATTTTTCTGCGAATCAGGACACTCAACACACTTAAACCAAGAAGAGCCGCCTTGCTATGGAACGATAAAAAGCGGGCTGCTCTAATAATTTTGTCAATAACTGTTTAATAGGCGCAAAAAACGACAAATTGGATTCGGCCTGTATTTTATTATCTTCAGAATCCAATAGATGGCGGCAGCTATTCCTCGCCGTAGGGCTTAGTAACGTGAGCGATTTGCGGGGCCCGTAGCACAGTACCGTCATGTCAGAACTACAGGCATACATATAGTATACATATGTGTGTAGCCAAGTTTGCTGGCGAAGAGCTAAGCCAGCCTAGACGCTTGGCTCGACTCGCTATATACAGGGTGTTCGTTATGAAACGCACTGTAGTAACATCGTTGCATTCCTTGTCAAATCCTAATGAATAGGTATATCTTCATTTTTTATTTCATATATCAAAATTTCGAGATAATCAAGGTTGAAGTTGCAGTAATGCGACCAATCAGAACGCGTTTAAACAGAGCGTAGATCACGTCGCGAGCCAGCCCGCAAGGCCTGCTTACACTAGGCCAATAACACTAAGAGTATCGTCTGTTGTATCTTACTCAATTACATGCAGATAAACAGGGACACAACGTCGATACTCTGTGTTATTGGCCTAGTAGTAAGCAGGCCTTGCGGGCTGGCTCGCGACGTCATCTACGCTCCGTTTAAACGCGTTCTGATTGGTCGCATTACTGCAACTTCAACCTTGATTATCTCAAAATTTTGGTATATGAAATAAAAAATGAAAATACACGTATTTTTTAGAATTTGACAAGGAATGCAACGATGTTACTACAGTACGTTTCATAACGAACACCCTGCATATATATATATATATATATATATATATATATATACATGCAGGGTGTTCGTTATGAAACGTACTGTAGTAACATCGTTGCATTCCTTGTCAAATTCTAAAAAATACGTGTATTTTCATTTTTTATTTCATATACCAAAATTTTGAGATAATCAAGGTTGAAGTTGCAGTAATGCGACCAATCAGAACGCGTTTAAACAGAGCGTAGATCACGTCGCGAGCCAGCCCGCAAGGCCTGCTTACACTAGGCCAATAACACTAAGAGTATCGTCTGTTGTATCTTACTCAATTACATGCAGATAAACAGGGACACAACGTCGATACTCTGTGTTATTGGCCTAGTAGTAAGCAGGCCTTGCGGGCTGGCTCGCGACGTCATCTACGCTCCGTTTAAACGCGTTCTGATTGGTCGCATTACTGCAACTTCAACCTTGATTATCTCAAAATTTTGGTATATGAAATAAAAAATGAAAATACACGTATTTTTTAGAATTTGACAAGGAATGCAACGATGTTACTACAGTACGTTTCATAACGAACACCCTGCATATATATATATATATATATATATATATATATATTTTTTTTCTTTACACCACCGTGCTTGTTAGCCGTTCACGAGGTAGTTATTTAAAAAATAATAGGACCTACAGACGGTACAGTTTACAGAAAATGTTGGTATCAAGCTGAAAAAGTTGTATTTTATTTGTTATTAACAATTTAATTGTTTAAACGACGAACTCCGGCTGATAAGATTATATTTTATGCTTTTCAATGTAAGAACATTTAACGCCTAATACGAGATTCGTATTATTAGTCAGTCACTCGTTAGTCGTTTAGACAATTAAATTGTGAATAACAAATTAAATATAACTTTTTCAGCTTAGTACCAAAACTTTCTACAATCTGTACGCATTATATTATTATTTTTTTAATAATTAGCACAGACTGTCGCAAAGATTAATATTGCAAACGTAACGTAATATTAGAATATTTCTTACAAGGAGAGTCTCCAACAATCTTTTGTAATCTTTTGTAAAATTTGTGATTTTTGTAATCTTTTTTACTCACGGCACGTGAAGTTGAGAATTCAAATAGTAATTTCCCAAAGCAGTGCTATCTCATATTGAAAAATCGACTTTGAAGATTGGTGACTCCGTAAGTGTCCCAAATAGGTCATGACATTCGAGCAGGCCGCTTAGCGCACCCGGTAACGATTGAGTCTAGCGAGCGCGGGGTCGCTGATTCGAGTCTCACTCGTACCTTTCTTTTTTCCATCCAATTCGCATAATTACGTCATTTAAATATAAAAATCACCAAATTTATACCAGTTCACAGATATATAATTGCAATCTTCAATGAAAATAGCAAGTTTTATTTTTAATTATCTCGAACTTCAAAAATTGCACATTTGAATGTAAATATCAATGTTTAGCTACCAGTAATTATAACAAACAAGATTTTTAGTGCGGAAATGAAAAACGATGAAATTCTCTTTACTATAAAAGTAACATGATAAGAAAAGTAATGGGGCCGAAGTACTGAATGAGCACTCACCAGAGCTGGTGCAGCTAATCCGAGAAGGCCGAGAACCGTATCAAGAGGACACTCGGGTGGGCACTTCACTAGGTCACAGCACTACACGTCCGGAACACGCACGAGAAATCCATAGAATTTCCTGGATATCGCGAAAGAAACGCGAGAACTAAACGAGCGAGAACTTTCTATATCGTAGCGAAACACTCTTCCATCTTCCTCGAGTCGTCCCTTTAAACTAACTTGAGAGCGATTCTTACCGAATCGGTGCGTAACACTTTTGGGGATCCTCCACGGCCACTTCTCAGGGCATCGGGCGACAGCTGGGCATCACTTCCTCAACTCGTAACAGGGGGTTCCTTCCCTTAACCGTAACAAAAACTTGTGCATTAAGAGATCTTTGAAAATTTCAAGGAAAAAGTCGTAAATCCAACCGCTTCCGAGATACAGCCTTCCGAAGGTGAAATTTCGAGTGGTTTCAGAATCGAAGAACGAGGATTCCGCGAGCGTGACCCTATCGTAATTTGAGAATCATACGCTAGATTAATTAATTATTTCTTTTGATACAATGTTTGTGACTTAAGGCTATGCTATGCTGTCCTTCTCTTGGGCAGGAGTGGAATCTGGAATAAGGGAACCCCGCGCAGTAAAATGAATGTCTCATGATGAACTTTATTTATATATTTTATAGGTTTAAGAATTGATTTATTCTTATGTTAATCATAAAATTTAAGGTTACATTTCTACTGTACTTACTTGTGAAAGTTTATCGTACTTGGCTTAAAGTATACGTCTCGCGATAGCCCACACATAACACAATGAATCACCATTTTTTAATATTTAATTTTTATAAATGCAACTACCATAAAGCAATCACGACAATTGAAATTTAACCAATGGATTTGACTCACGGAGGCTTCTATCTCCAAGATTCGTATGTAATAACGTACATTATAGATGTGCGGAGTAATCTTTCACATGGTTCTTATTTTGCATATTACAGTCCTGAACACCTTGCGTCCAGAAAACTTTCGACCAATAGAAAAATGATAGACAAGGACAGAACGGTCCTTGCTCGAACGATTTGCTCTCTCTTTCTATTTCCGGTTCCACTTTCTGCGTCAACAGTGAGCAGTCCTGTACAGGGGGTGGCAACTCCCACGATTTTTCGTGTTATTCGTACAGTTAGCTCGACACGAGACCGAGCAGGTGGTG